CACAGAGATCCTTCATTCCAGCAGTGCTTGTGTTTGGGACGCTGTGAGCATGTTTCACTCTGTTTTTGTTCGTCTGCTCACTGACGCTGATGAAATCACGCCGGACGCGGCCTTCAGGGGCTTTCATAACCTCTAAAAGATGTCTTTAGTCTCACCAGCATCATGGGTGTGTGTGTGTGTATTGAGTGAGTTTATCTCATCTGTAGAAATCAAGGCAATCTTAATATTTTGGCAATGCAGCCATCACTTCTTAGAATCCGCATGATGTTCTTGAGAAGTTTCTTCTTCGAGTGAGTGTGGTGTTTGGGTGGTGCATGTCAAGCTAACGGCTGTGGCTCCAAAACTCCTCATCTGTGTTCAATCATCCACACATCTGTGACCATCGCAGCTGATTTCTACATAACAGGCTCCAAAAATCCAGCATCACCCCTCAGATATCAAGAACTGGCCGGTATTTCTTCTCGCTTTCATGTCAGAGACTCCGAAATGTACAAGCTGATTGAACCATTTTAATTGAGTTCCTCATCATCTCCAGATCTCTACATCTGCAGAAATTCACAAGTCATTGACTCCTGGGCAAAAAGCCAGAGAAGCTTCTTAAATGATGAATTGACCTGCGACTAGATAGCAGCTGTAGCTTGTATGAAGTGTGCTTTTTACGACTTATAAAAGACAGTTATCCTGCTGCTCACTTAAGAACTCATCACAAACACAGTCTGTGCACTATTCTGCAAGTCGCCTTGTTAAAGCAGCACTATGTAACTTTTGGCGCTCTAGCGGTTAATAAACAGAACTGCACACATCCCGCGGAAGAACATTCCAACCGGAGCTACTTCTCTAAGTTTATGTCTATGGCGATTCACGCAGGTATGTGTTACTCCGCAGCGGTGACGACCCGACCAGCCTACAATAGTCCAAATATAAGTACTTATTATAAGTGTACCGTAGTGATTCGGAATAAGACAAAAACGCGGTTTGGAAGATGAATTCATGATGTACTCGCTCATTATATACATTTTGCTAATTTTGAACACAGAAAAAGTTACATAGTGCTGCTTTAAAGTGAGTTCAACATTAATTACTCACCTCTGATTCTTGAGACATGGGACAAAACATGTCCAGCAATTGTAACTGCTATTTGGTTTAAAAAATGAAACTATTTTCAATTGTAAATGTTATGGGGGATTAATAATAGAATGTATTTAACACAGTTGTTCTATTAGCATCTAGCATCAACAGAAAAAAATGGCTACTACATGAACTCCATTTGTTTTGTGAAAGAAATGCCAAATTTGTCAATATATTCACAGATGAATAGTTTGATAGTATTTCATTATGATATTTAATGTTTGAAAAGTTGTGAGGTTGCATCAAAGCATAGCTCAGTAGCTTAGTAGCCTACATGTTAGATACATAAAAGTAGTTTCATTTGTCTGTGTACAAGGTTTTATTATTTTCAATTTTGCACCCTGTTTTTTCCCATTTTTCAAAAATGAATGTCATCTCAAGTCATTCCAAACATATTTTTCCTTTTATTTCTCATTTTATTAAATAAATAATCGAATATTGAAATTGTAATATAATAAAATATACCTAATTGAAAAATTACTTCTTTTACTGTTTTACAATTTACATAGTAAAACATTATTTAACATTACTGATAATCTAATCACAATTGGGAATAATGAGACTTGCAAAAAGCTCAAAAGTCTTAATGCATTATGGTAATAAGAATTTTGGGTAAAATGTACTTAATTTAAATTAACAATGCAAAAAAAAAAATGTATTTCTTTAAATTTTATGGTGAAGACAGATTTTTTTTTTTCTTGCACACTGTCAGGAAAAAAAAATTGCAAAAAAATTGTAGGGGTACAACAGCTTTTCACTAGGGCTGTCCCCTCAAAAGGACATATTTGCAACTTCTTTGCCCCTAAAGGGTGCATATTGGTACATTAGAGCAGTAATGTGTACTCTTATGGTACTATTATGAACCCTCTGGGGTAAACAATGTACAAAGATGTCCCTTTAAAGGTACTGCCCCACTGACAAGCTGTTGTTCCCCTGAAGGTACAGTTTTGCACATTATTTGTGAGAGTGCAGATAAATGCTCTGTGCTGCATGTGTGAGTGTTAGTTCAGGAGGAGCCTCTGAGCAGCTTTCATTAGTGGTGTGTCTGGAGGCCACAGCAGGTCTGAGTTCAAATAGCCCGTCTGCTCTGATAACTCTCTCCAGCTGCTGGGTAATGGTTAGTTTCCTCCCATTAGAGAGGAAAACCTCTAAACAGCAAATAGCTCATTAAAAAGCTTTATCACTTACCCACTGTTAGAACTGCAAACATCATTCATCACATGGAGCGAAGTGAAGACTTTAAATACTCATCTGCAGGCTCGGCCTCGAGGACACGACGTGCACTAGAGAACACAGCCGCTCTGTAATCAACTCTACAGTACCGCTAATGACCAGAGTTATTAACCTTTCCCTGCGCTGGACAATCCTTCACACTCAACACAACCACACATATCAACACAAGAATGACAGAACGACAGACAGACAGACAGACAGACAGACAGATAGATAGATAGATACAGAGAGATAGATAGATAGAAATACCGATAGATAGATAGATACAGATAGATGATAGATAGAGACAGACAGATAGATAGATAGATAGATAGAAAGACGGATAGATAGAAATACATACAGACGGATAGATAGATAGACAGACAGAGATAGATAGATAGAAAGACGGATGGATAGATAGATAGATAGATAGATAGATAGACAGACAGATAGAAATACCAAAAGATAGATAGATAGATAAGATAGATAGATAGATAGATAGACAGACAGAGAGATAGAAATACCGATAGATATACTGTAGATAGATAGATAGATAAGATAGATAGATAGATAAGATAGATAGATAGACAGATTAGATAGATAGATAGACAGATTAGATAGATAGATAGACAGATTAGATAGATAGATAGATAGATAGATTAGATCATAGATAGATAGATAGATAGATAGAAATACCGATAGATAGATAGATAGATAGATAGATAGATAGACAGACAGATAGATAGAAATACCAAAAGATAGATAGATAGATAGATAAGATAGATAGATAGACAGAGAGATAGATAGAAATACCGATAGATATACTGTAGATAGATAGATAGATAGATAGATAGATAAGATAGATAGATAGACAGACAGATAGACAGACAGACAGAGAGATAGATAGAAATTAGATAGATAGATGGATAGATAGATAGAGACACAGACAGACAGATAGAAATACCGATAGATAGATAGATAGATAGATAGAAATACAGATAGATAGATAGATAGATAGAAATACCGATAGACAGATAGATAGATTAGATAGATAGATGGATAGATAGATGGATAGATAGATAGAGACACAGACAGACAGATAGATGATAGATAGATAGATAGATAGATAGATAAGATAGATAGATAGATAGATAGACAGACAGAGACAGACAGACAGATAGAAATACCGAAAGATAGATAGATAGATAGATAGATAGATAGATAGATAGAAATACCGATAGATAGATAGATAGATAGATAGAGATAGATAGATGATAGATAGAGACACAGACAGACAGATAGATGATAGATAGATAGATAGATAGATAGATAGATAGAAATACCGAAAGACAGATAGACAGAACAATAGAACGATAGATAGATTCTATCTAGATAGATTGACAGAAAAGTAAATTGTGGTGTTTTGACACCCAGCTGGATATGTATTTATTTTTACAATGTACAACATATAAAAACATAGCAAAAGGTCACAGTGTATAAAGGCAGTGATCATGTGTTGGAAAACCATTTTCTTTTTTTTATTGCATAGAGAACCGTCTGCATTCAGATAATGCAGCATCCATGCAACATCAGCGTAAAAAAGCATCATCAGCAAGTGTCCAGCTCACGATACACTATACACACGACCGTGGCCGCTTCCGCTCTAATGCCATATTCAACATCCCACCAGACTGTCTGCGTCTGCACTGAAGTTCATATGGGCTCACTGGAAAGAATTAGCTTAAAATATTTCATAAAACATATTTTCATTAAACATGTACTGTACACAATCCCAGACAGAAAAAAAAAAACTGTAATAGCAAGAAATAAGTGTAAATCTGAGCATTCGTAGTGTACTGAAGACAACAGTTGCTGCTCTCACTGTCATATGTTCACTGTGGAGTTATAGCAAGGAAAAAAATACCTGATTCCATCAACAACAAAAAAAAAAGAAAAATCATCATTTGTGTATAAATATATAATGCCAGCTACAAATATACACATACTTACAAACGTACATCCCTTTAGATTCAATAACACTCACACAGAGCTGTTTCAGACTGCCATGTTTCAGTAGCAACTCGTTTGAAATGATTGACCAAAATTTTTATATTTTATTTACTCATCCTCATGCCATTTCATCAAGTTTGTTTTGAAGAAAAAGAAGAATGTGCAAAATATTTGTTTGAAAAAGTTTGAATATGTGAATTTGAATTTTTAAAGATTTAAGCAGGTAACTTAAATTTCAGTTTCTCATTTAAAACTACTGCATGTTTCAGACTTGGAATATGGTGCATAAGCCATAGGGATGCCTTTTTTGATACTTTTATAGCACGGTTTTGTATATTTGTGAGCTTGACAGGCCCTGAATACTTCATTGTATGGGAAGGAGCAGCATGAACATCCTTCAAAACATCTTCCACTGAAGGCAAAGCAAAACCATTGTTTGTTTTTTGCCGCATCACCGGTCATCCTGATTCCATGGATCTCATGTCCTTGTAGTTCTTGGAGTTCTCTGGAGCAGAAAAAGACGTAAACCAGGAACAAATAAGGGAAACAGATGCTCAGGCTTACTGTGAGGCGTCACAGCTGTCTGGAAGCCTTCATGCTTTATGACTCAAAGCGAGTTCTGCGTTGCAGTTTTTCGATTATGAAGAACAACACAAAGATGCCAGCACATAAAGTAGTACATCACAATACAGTTTTAAACTTGATCCCAGAATTCCTCTTGCTCCTTTGCATTGTAAGAAGTGTGCATGCTTTGTGAGTGTCAGTCTGTAGTTATTACGACGCATGTGATCAGCTGAACCCGTGACTTCCAGTTCGAGATGACATTTAGGAAAGGAAATGCTACAAGAAAACTACATGGGCCCATCTTATCCGAACATCACTCCTTTGCATTTTCCTGCACCATTTGAGATGCAGATTATGCGCTCAGCCTTCCTGTGGATCCATGCATTTTCCAATGCATCTGCATGGACGGATGAGGGTGCGTAACCGTGGTCACACTGCCCTAAGAAAGCATGAGATGTGTGTCCGTGCATCAGTTGTGCATGTAGCTGCAAGGTGAGTCCATGGAAGGGAAGTCGTATTTGCCCAAAGGAGACGGGTAATATGTGGTGGCGTAGACGTTGGTCTGCGGTAACGCTGATGGGAAGAAGTTGCAGCTTTCATCCGGTGGAAGCAGGTTATTCTTATTCAGAGTCTGCGGGGAACAGAGAGAAAGCGCAGAAAGTGAGCACACAAGATGTCGAAAGTCTCTTCAATATTTCAAAGGCCACAGCATGTTTTGCATCATGCTGCAGCGGTCCTGTGATGTCAACGCTCTGAGGGAAAAGAGGAAACCGGAAAATGAGGATTGATAGAAAAGACGGATTCCTTTGAGACAGATTAGAGAAAGGTGCGATTCTCAACTGTTTCAGATTTCACATCAGATGTCAAGTGAACCCAACTTAGTGAACAAAAGTGAATAATAATAATAATTATTATTATTATTATTAAATAAAAAATAATACACTATAATAAAAAAATATGATAATAATTGTATTATATGATATTATTATATAATAATTATTCTCAACAGTGACAAGACCAGAATTATTTATTAAACAAATGTGAACAAATACTACTAATACTACTACTAATGCTGCGTTTGAATTTTCATGCCACATTATTTGAAATTAGTGCGGGCCAAACGTTTTACTCTCACAGGCCGGATGTGGCCCGCCTATGGAGGAACCCTGGTCTAAGCCAAACAAAATGCACAATTAATAATAATAATAATAATTCTGAATATTCTGGTTTCTAGAATTATAGGAATCATTTTCTCCTTCCCTTAAAAAAAGTTATTTATTTCTATATAATAACAATACATGATTATATGATTAAGCGGATTTTATTATCTGCACTAATCTGTATTGCGGTTGCAACCCACCAGTTAAGGGTAATACAGAGAGAACACTGTGGCATGATGGGATACCTTGAACTCCATGGGTGTGTATAAGTCGTTCTTGGGCGCACAGCTGTTCTCTTTATAGTGTAGGTGGTTGGGGGTGCTGGGATGGATAACTGCGGATTCTTGAGGGGGTTTGCGGAGTCTCTGACAGTACACATACACCAGGACGGACAACAAAACGGCTCCCAGAAAACAGCACGCTCCAGTCAGCACCAAATGGAACAGAGAAAACCCTGCAGGAGACCAAAAGAGAAAGAAATGTTACACTAGGGTCATTAGACACACCAAAACCTGAATGCTGGTGGATGATGTAAGATTTACCTCCACAGTTTATGTTCCTCTTCTGTCCCTTTGACAGCACTAGAATTAAGAAAATGAAACAATACTGTAGTCTGAAATGCCAGAAAGAAACGAGCAAAAAGAGGGAAAGGAACTAACCTGCACTCTCATTGGGTCGACACTGTCTCTGATCTGTGGAGTTTCCTTGGCAAGAGGCGGAGCTTATTTCACATGTACGAATCCGGAGCTGCAGCCCCTCCTCGTTACACTCCGCCCACTCTGACCACACCCCCCACCCACCTGACACAGGTGAGCAAGATAAACAGAACAGTTCACAATTGTGTTTAAAATCTTTAGTCATCATGAACAGTCATGCAGAGTATTTAAAGGGGAAGTGGGGGATTTCTCCCAAACCAGTGTGTTTATCTCCCAAACAAAATGACTTGTAAAAATTGATTCTTTGACTGGTACAGTCTAACTGATTCCCAATCAAATTATTCTTATGAACCAGTTCTTTTAAGTGAATCACACATATACAGTACAACTAGTTCAGACCAACCAATTACGACTGAATGAGCTGGTAATTCTTAGTGAATCAAACAATTACAGTACTGTTAGAACAGTTAGGGTTAAACTTGATTTCTGAATGAATTACCCTTATGAACCGGTGAATCAAACACAGAGTCTAACTGGTACGATCAACCAATTCCCAAAAGAATGACTCTTATGAATCAGTTATATTTAATGAATCAAACACATACAGAACAACAGGTGAAGTTCAACCAATTCAAGAACCAATGACTCTTATGAACCAGTTCTTTTTAGTGAATCAGTCACATACAGAACAACTGGTACAGTTCAATCGATTCGTAAATCGAATTACTCTTATGAGCTGGTTCTTTTTATTAAATCAAACGCAGATTATTACTTACCGTATTAAAGGGATAGTTCATCCAAAAATGAAAATTTGATGTTTATCTGCTTACCCCCCTGGGGGTAAGCAGATAAACATCAAATTTTCATTTTTGGATGAACTATCCCTTTAAGGCCAGTGAATAATCAGTTTAGTTACTATTAAATATACAAAAAGACTTTTGACAGTAGTAAAAATATAAACGTAAATAAACCAATGAAATATGCTACATTTGTTTTGTTGTTAAGTATTGTTGTTTAACTCTTTCCCCGCCATTGACGAGTTATCTCGTCTTTTAGAAGACAACGCTTCCCCGCCAAAGACGAGTTTTTACGGCTTTTCGTGTTTTCACTGTTATACACTAGGGGGCGCTATTACACATCTTCTGAACGAGTACAAAACCTCCCGAACAAAAACACATGTGTACAGGACGGAGAAACGAGCGATCTCTTATGTAAACAGATGCATATGAAAAATAATGCGATCATCAGCAATGGGCAGCATATAAATGAAAACTGCATAATGTTACGGAGTAAAATGTTGATCCAGGAAGTGGTATATGTCTGTGCAAGCTTTGGAGGTGTTGATAGAAGCGATTTACTGGATTTATGCTTTGATAATCGTACTGAATATTACCCAGATGTAGTTTTTGATAAAAATGTGATTTTCTCACCTTTTTGCTCAAAATTATGCATTTTTATGAAACCTACCTATATTCAAGTGTTGATAAAAAAAGAATGCTTTAAGCTAGAATAAAACATACAGCAAAATATTCTGGAGGCCATCAAATTTTAGTGAAAATCATCAAAATCGCTGGTGGTGGCTGGCAACTTTTTTCAAAAATGCTGGCGGGGAAAGAGTTAATATATGGATATAGTTAAGGTCAATTACTGGATTTTACAGGAAACGTAAAGACGAAGACTGTGGAAAGTGTTTAAACACATTTTGTAAGAACTGTTTTAAATGTATTTATCATTAAAACATTATTTTGTTTCCAAATATGTATTCCTTAAGTAGGAAAAGAAATGTTTTTAAAAAAACAATATTCTCTTAATGCTGCTATTATGCGATTTTCTCACCTTCACACTCGTGTGTGTTACAGAGCGCTTCCTCCGTGTGCAGGCCGATGCAGATGTCTCCAGAATGAGCAGGAGAAGGGTTAGAGCAGGTACGGGAGCGCTGGTAGTGACCGCCACCACAGGAAGTAGAACACTGAGACCAGGAAGACCAGCATGACCATGCCCCCTTCACTGAAAAACAACACCATTATTACACTACTCCATTAACAGGGCACGATTGACTTATTTAAGAGGATACAAGGCTCTCTCAGACCTGGGCACGGCTGAGTGTTACAGTCCTGATACTCGACCGGCGCTCCGCTGCAGGCGAACAGCGTGCTCTTGCCATCCGGTGTGGCGCAGGAGCGCTTGCGTGTGCGGAAGCCTTTGGAGCACTCTTTGGAACACGCAGACCACGTTTCCCATGACGACCAGGCGGCTCCTTGCACTCGTGTCACAGGTCGACCCATTCTCAACAAGTCCTCAACTAGACCTATACAAATGTAAAAGGGTGCATATAGTGGGGCTGCACAGTTAATCTGAATCGCAATATTTCGTAGTGCAATTGTCAAGGCTGCGATTTAGTTAAATATATGCGCGGTGTGTTTTAAAGTGAACAACGGAACTGTGTTTATTTATACATGAGCAGCTCATGATACAGTGATTTCAGCATCTCAGAGTGGCTTGGTTTACATGTAAGTGTTGCTCCAAACAAACTCCATCTCTGCAACTGAGTTTGGGTCACTTATCTAACGTGCATTTAGGAATGCGCAACCATCTGCCCATACAAATAATGAGAAGTGCTTATAAACTGGCTACTGTCAACAAAAGTGAAGCTTTACGGCCTCCCTGCAATTTTCGTCAAAATAAAGTTTGATGGTTTAACACTAAGATTAAGAAATTAAACCAACCATAAAGATTGGTATTGTAAGTTCTACAGTTGTACTGTAAAATACAATTATTAATTTATTATTTTTCTTAAATACTATTTTTTTTACAGGGAATATAATATTTCCTATTTTATTTAATATTTTTAAATATTTTAACAACAACAATAATAATATAATTAAATAAAAACAGAAATATTAATGTACTACTACTAATAATAATTCTTATTTTGTTTTATATTTTTTGTATTTTTATTATTATTATTATTTTTAGTAAAATAATAATAATTATTATTATTATTAGTAGTTTTAGTTGCCAAGGCAAAATTTCAGATTTTCATAAAAAAAAATTTTTTACAGCTTTTTTCCAATTACAAAATTATTTTTCATAGATTTAGTTTACGTTAACAATAACCCCACTGAGACTTACTTTACTCTTCTGTGGAACAGTATTTGTCCATAAAATGGAAGTCAATGGGGTCCAAAACCCCACTGACTTTAAAGGGTTCATGAACGGAGAAACCAAAATTCCCTTGATCTTTTGACATTGTACACAAGAGGTCATTGTACTATAAAAGCATCCTGTAAGTTTCAGAACTCAAAACTTTGTCGTTAGTCTTAAACCAGCTTATACTGATGGCAGTCTGCCAAAACGACAGCTTTTGTAATATTCCTATATATGATGTAATAGGTAGATAAGCACCACCTCTGCAGAAGACGATCGACATCACTGTCTGTTTAGCCCCGCCCACCGATTCACGCATAGTAATTTACCAGAGAGTCGAACACGCAGGTCTATGCAGAAACCAAACGATAAAGATGTCTCTGAAAACAACAGGACGCTCTGCAGTGCCAATTTGTGGAAAATAACAGTCTTTGCATTGCCTTCCTTCTGATCCCAACGTTAGGAAAGAGTGGATAAACTTTATCTTTAATGAAGTTCCAGACCGCATCAGTAAGAACTTGTTCCTTTCTTCACTTAATTTTACCGCGGATTAGTTTACAAGCAAGGCACAATTCGACACAGGATTTTCAGAAAGATTGAAACTAAAAGACGATGCTGTGCAACTATATTGGATCCGACAGTAATGTAAATAGCCTATTATTACTTCTAAATTATGCTTTTTGATGTAAAAATCTTGATAACTTTATAAGTGCAATAAGTGTACAAGTACAACATAAAAAACAAAGGCAGGTCATGACCCCTTTAAACCTGTCATACAAGTTTGAAAGGATATGAAGGATAGGGCAGGGACGTGAGCGAACTGGGAGCTTTGCACTGTTGCAATGTTTGCAAAGTTAGAGTATTTACTTCGAAAAAGTAAGAAAATCCTATTTTCCAAATGAATAACAAGGACAGCCCCTCTGGAGTCACCTGGAGTCAAGCGACTCCTTCTAAGGCCCCGATAATGACTGCACAGGATTGTGATCACAACTTTAAAGCCTGACAGGTAACATCAGTTTTATTAAACTTAACAGTAGCTTTCTGACAAAGATGTATTAGCAGCTCATTACTCATCTATTATAGATCTGCCACAGCTACTCTTCTGCTGTTATACTGAAACATTGCGTCCTGTTAGTTTCTCGCACCCAGACCCGGTGATGTGTGTGTTTAAACAAGCCCTCTAGGTGAAGATATAATTTGAACATTCATTCATTGACTGAAAGTGACTGCAGGATAATGGGACACGCAAAGAAGGAGCTGCTCCGCCAGAAACGCTGCGTCAGCCGCTTGCAGTTAATGAATAAAGCCGCGTCTGTATCAGAGTTCAGGATTGATGGAGTCGAGGCCTCACTCTCTGCAGCTGTTAGCATTGGGGGGTGCCTTTCTCTCACGGAAGAGCTGAATCAGAAGTGCTTTGTGCTTTGACACTTTGATTGGCTGTGATTGAAGACTTCAGGCTGATCTCTCTGGCTCTCATATATCAGTCTAGCCGCACTGTTTACACCTGCCACTTCAATATGGGGAGTCCCAGATTATAAAGACCTAGTTCATCCAAAAACAAAATCATTTACTCAGTCTCTTACTCCTTTGAAACCCATATGAGTTTTCAATCCCTGTGTTTTGACAGTGAATAATGGGATGCTGTCAAACTTGAAAAATTAGACGCACCATTATATCCATATGACGTGTGCAACTGTATACTTCAAGTCTTCCATGACAGTGTTTTGTGTGAAGAACAACTTTCAAATGTACTACTATTCCAAAGTACTATTCCTACTTTTTTTTTTTTAGAGAAAATTAAGTTTTTTGTTTTTTTTTGAGAAATTAATACTTTTATTCATTAGTGATGCATTAAATTGATCAAAAGTGACAGTAAAGACATCTATAATGTTACAAAAGATTTCTATTTCATAAAATAGCTGTTCTTTAGAACTTTACATTTATAAAAGGATCCTGAAAAAAATAATTGTGGAAATATTATGTTTTCATGCAAACCGCTAAATAGTAAGATGATAATATTGATAATATAGCTTAAAAATCAATAACTGAAACTGATGTTTCTTAAGCAGCAAATCAGCATATTAGAATGATTTCTGAAGGATCATGTGACACTGAAGACTGGAGTAATGATGCTGAAAATTCAACTTTGATCACAGGAATAAATTACATTTTACAATATATCCAAATAGAAAACGGCTACATTAAATGGTAATAACATTTCACAATATTACTAGTTTTACTGTATTTTTAATCAAATAAATGCAGCCTTGGTGAGCATAAGATACTTCTTCCAAAGAACATTTTAAAAATCAAACCAACCCCACAGTTCTGAACAATACTTTATGTGTTCACATATATACAAATATGGCTCGGCCAGATAAGTCATGCCAGGTTTCTTATCAATGAAGCAAAATTACTTGGTTCTCATGTATCTAGTAACCAATCAATTTTATATGGAGGGTGCGGATGGGATTTGAGAGCTACATCAGAAGAGAAAATTGTCAGTGACGTTAATAACAGCATGTTCCTCCCACAAAGCTATCATGTGACTGGAATATCGCACACAACTCAAATGAACTACTTTTTAAGGGTTTTGTCATATTTGAACTTTAACAAGCATGGTTAGTTTACTTTAACAAGCATAAGGGTTAGTAGAGTAGGTGTACCTGGAGCAGTTGGCCACCTGGATGTTGGCCCCGACACACTTCATCCCTCCACACTGGGGGCGAGGGTTATCACAGACCCGAGTGCGACACTGACATGTGCTGGTGCCTTCACCTCCGTCGTCATGGTTACAAGCCTGCCATGGTGACCACTGGCCAAATCCACCATCCTGGGTGAGGTTGCGCTCCTATAAATGTAAATGCAAACAAGGCATGTTGTAAGTATGCATTTAGTGTTTGCATAGAAATTCACTGAACTTGTTTCATTCAATAAACCTCTTAGTGTTCAGATTCTAACTTTCTTTTATTGCTAACTTCAGTAGGTAATATCTCATTATTAACTAGTTGCTTATTAGCATGCATAGTACTAGCATATTGGCTGTTTATTATTACTTATACAGCACATATTAATGCCTTGTTCTGCATGACCATATTTTAGATCCCTTAATCCAATACCTAAACTTAACAACTAGCTTACTTACTATTAATAAACAACAAGAATAAGTAAAGCACATATTCTGCATGACCATATTCTACATCCCAAATCCTACCCAATACCTAAACTTAACAACTACCTTACTAATTATGAATATGCAGCAAATTAGGAGTTTTTTGCGGCAAAAGTCATAGTTAATGGTTTGTTAATAGCGAGAATTGGACCTTAAAATAAAGTGTGACCCATTTCACCTTTACGATTAAAATATCAAAATAGTATTCATGCCTTAATTGAAGACTTGTAAAATCTTGTAATCAAAAGTCACAATTTGAGAGTTGAACCTGCATTTTCTGCATTCATCAAAGTCCCCACATAATCTCATTTTTCAAAGCAATTTAACCAACAGCAGTGATGTATAGAGCATGTACACATGTGTCAGTCTGCAGTAGAAGGTGGTTCATGTAATGCACAGGATAAAAACTGTCTTAAATTCATCTCCATGCATGGGTAATCTTCAGGGAGCAGGTGTGCGGAGTGCCCATTGAGGTGAATACCAACATCTACTGAGAGTCTGGATTAGTAACAACTGACCAGAACTCGGTGCCATTCATACAGAATTTCGAGACCTGCATCAACTTTCACTGTACTTCAACGGTATAATCAAAAAAGGTCAACTGAGGGCTTTTCCCTGATGCATGACAAAAATTGTTAATGTAATGCTTATCAGTTTGCCCTTCTATGAATTCATATAATAACAGTCCCCTTCAGCTTCCTCTGATGCCCCTGCGGCTCAGATACTCAACTTCAGCCTACCAATGAGGAGGAAGCTCAAGAAATCATCAGTTCTGCTGTAGTTTGTAGTTAACTTGGTACTTCATTTTTTTAATTTGTCGTACGTTTTCCATAGTTTTCAAAGTATTCTGTAGTCGCATAACATGATGTTTACTATTATTGATCCAATATGCAGCCTTTAAAACTGTAAACAGACAATGTTTCAATTTTTTTGTTTCATTTATGTAGCAGCAGTAATAAATTGCATTCCCAATGAGACACAAAAAACTTTAAATAAATAGTCATGTAAATAATATTCAGGAACTGTATGTAAAATGAATCAGGGCAATAAATAAGGATAAAAAAGTTTGCATTAATTAACACAACAAACAATATTTTACAGAAATTATCTTGGTTAATATTTATGTTTGCATTATATATAAATAAATGTTCCATTATGAAATAAAAATGAACAATAGTACATTTATAAATTTATATTTATAAAGATTAAATGTAAAAATATTGACCATTTTTAACTCATGATACTAAATACATTAACAATAATAATAATATAAATACTAATATTAATGTATAGAACCTTACTGTAAAATGTTACCATAACTAAATATAATACAGTAACAGCTCTTACTGGTTATACGTAAAAGTGCAGTGGACGAATGATTTATTGAGACAGTAGCAGCACAGCACCCACATTCACATAATGTTCTTTCTCTTAAAATGTAAATGTCAACATCATTATATAATGCTAAAAGAAAGTATTTCGTGCAAAACACAAAGTCCAATGCAATCCAATCAGTCTGCTATTTATCCCATGTTATTTCTGACTAGAATCATATTTTGTTTATATGCTTAATGTTTAATGTTGCAAATCACAAATATTCAGTAGTGCATTCTGTGCATGTTGTAACTTAGTGTTGATTTACGTCATAACTATGGAACCAATACATTCTGCAAAAGTTTGAGAAAAGCACTCTTAAGGCCCGTTCACACCAAGGACGATAACTATAAAGATAACGATAAAGATATAGTTCTAAAAATCGTTCTCAATATTAAAGAATAGCAGAGTCCACACCACAACTATAACGATAAAGACAAAGAGAAACGATATCGTTGGAATCACTTTCAAAACGATTTTTCTCCAGCTGATGAACGATAAAAAATTGACAGCCAATCAGAATCCATCCTGCTGTAACGAGCTCAAGAATTTAAAGAGGCAGACGCACGTGTGCTTAGAATAAACAGACGATATCGTTCGCTGGTGTGGACGCTAATATCGTTATCTTTATAGTTATCGTTCTTGGTGTGAACGGGGCTTTACTCACTGTCTCAACTTCAAGCTATTACTATGGAAACAACTGTTTTTGCTCATTAGCATAATAGCAAGTACTTTTAATGCATAATATTAGTATGCAACTTGGGACAAAGCCAAAGCTTCCACAACGTTGTAGAAAATGAGGTTTGTTTATTATTGCTCCTTGGAGGATATCAACCATCAGAGATAATAGGAAATTTGTGATTGCTAATTATGGACCTAATGAAGTGCCAAGAGGGAACAGGAGTGTCATTGGCCAACCATCGTGCAGAACACCAGTGTGTAATTGACATTGTCAGATGAAGGGTTCGGATCAGCTGGGTCAGTCGTCAGGCTCTGTTTCAAGGCTCTTCATCAGAAATTTGATTCTTCACGACCAGTTCAAAAAAAAAATCATAGGAGATTTATGGTGTACTCAAAGAAAATGATACAGAATAGAGTAGCACAATGTAGAGTAGAACAGAATAAACATAATAGAATAAAACAGAATATGGAACAGAATAGAATAGAACAGAAATAAATAGAAGTGTGTAGAACAGAAGAGAATATAACAGAATAGAAAAGAATAGAAGCGTATAGAAAATAACAGAATAGAAGAGAACAGAACAGAAGCATATAAAATAGAAAAGAACAGAAAATAGCATCATACAGAATAGAACAGAATATAAAACAGAGTAATAGAACAGAACAGAATACAGAACAGAATAGAACAGAATAGAGTTGTGCAGAATAGAACAAACAGAAAAAAACAGAAAAAAATCAAGCATACATTACAGAATAGAAACATGCAGATTCTATATAGAATAGAATAGAAAATAAATGAATACAGAATAGAAAACTGAATATAACAAAGCAGAATAGAATATAAAATAACAGTACAACAGAAAATTATATATTAGCATAAAAAAGAATAAAATAGAATACAGAACAGAAAAGAATAGAAGCATACAGAATATAATAGAATAAAACAGAACAGAATCACATAGAATAGAAAACAAAAAATAAAAGCACAGAATAGAACAGAACAAAACTAACAGCAGTGTACAGAATAGAACAGAACAAAAAATAATAACAGTGTATAGAATAGAACAGAACAGAATGGAATACAACAGAACAGAATACAAGCATACAGTACAGAACAATAAAGAATAGAATAGAATAGAATAGAATAGAATAGAACAGAATGGAATACAACAGAACAGAATACAAGCATACAGTACAGAACAATAAAGAATAGAATAGAATAGAATAGAACAGAACAGAATGGAATACAACAGAACAGAATACAAACATACGGTACAGAACAATACAGAATAGAAGATGATAGATTAGTATAGAAAATAAATGAATACAGAATGGAAAAGAGTAGAATAGAATATAGAGTAGAATATAACAGAACAGAACAGAATAGAACAGAACAGAACAGAAAATGATATATTAGTATAGAAAGTAATCAAATAGAATACAGAAAAGAACAGAACAGAGGATCTTTTGCTAAAGATAATAATCGAAGTTACAGGAGACTTAATCAAAAATCTCCATTTACTCTATTTAATCTCACTTCCGTGTTGAAGAAACACCTGAGATAATAAAGAGATGCCATTTGTGATTTTTCTTTTATGTGTGATGATATTGTCTGAAAGTGTGTCTTACAGGGCACTTTGTGATGTCTTGGCTCCACTGGCTCATGTTGGAACTGTCCTCAATCGTCGTGCAGCTCTTCTGTTTCCGGTCCCAGCCGCAGTACGGATCCCTGGCACCCAGACAATCCCTACGATTACAAAAATCACACATCAATGACAAGGTCTTAATTAATACCACCATAAAAAGTGTCCCGTCTGCTCATCAGAACTTCTTAATGACAAAAGAGAAAAAGGAGAGGAGAGATTGGACTGCAATTGACTTCTACAGGATGTTGCAGACCTTAATAACTGAAGAATAAATCTCAGTGCAATAAATATTAAAACTAATACCTTTGGTACTTAAGTACTTTTAAAAGCAAGTACTTCTATACTTTTACTTAAGTAAAAATCTGTCTTTACAACTTTTACTTGTAATGGAGTAATATTTGACCAGCAGTATCTGTACTTTCACTCAAGTAATGGAGTTGAGTACTTTGTCCGCCTCTGCTAATACCATCCTTCTCAGACTGATCACTAAATCTCAAGGGAATGCTTTGCAAATTTTGTCTATAATCTAAACATCACTTAGAGATTTATTTTATTGAGATCAAAGTCAGAGACTGAGCTGAAGTGTAAATAAGCATCTGATCAGAGCGTGATATGATCTGACTGTTACAGTAACTACAGAGAAGACACAATAAACCTCAAATCCTGCTCTGAGAGATAAACAGCATCTGACAGCACCTCTGGTGATTTATTAGAGCTAACAGACTTATCATTTTCTTCTTGTGTCCTTTGGGTTCAGTGGAGTGAGACTGTGTGATTAATTCAAGAGCATGTTTCAGTATTTTAATGATGTGCCTTTCTTAAGAAGGACAAAGTATGAAAAACCAAACAATGCAAATTACCAGTAAATTACAAGCACATGCATACAACTAAATATTAACCAGTGTTCAAATGTTTGGGGCCTTGGTTTTTTTTTTATATATATTTTTTTAACTACATTAATTCAGCAAGGATTAAATTATTTCATTGATTAACAGTTACAGTTAAGACATTTATAAATAATGTTACAAAAGATTTCTGTGACAAATAAATGCTGTTTTTTCAAACTTCCTATTAATCAAATAATCCTGAAAAAAAGCATCCTGTTTTCCACAAAAGTATTAATCAGCAAAGCTGTTTTCAACTATCACAATAATCAGAAATGTTTCTTAAGACTGGAGTAATGATGCTGAAAATGTATGGGATGATATTAGGCTCAAAATGATTAATAGATGCACGCACAATTATCCATGTACTGCATAAATTTTATGCATGTATCTTACTAACCACAAACAAATGCCTTTCAATTTGTGTCTGTGGAATTCGGGATTAAATGATTGTGCAGTGATTTGAACAAATACAGACATGTTTGCAAATAAAAATGTTCTGTTCTGCATTAATATATCATTAATTGCTCAAGCAAAAAGGAATCCGTGCATTTGTGGATCAGGTGACACGCGTGCATACAAGGCCCAGTGCAATTCATTAATGTGTACACGATTTGAAAAATTCGCAAACAAATGCTGATCCACAAATGCACATTTTAATTGCTACATTCACAAATTATGATACTTTAATGCAAACTATAACATTTGTATTCACAAATATGTCTCTATTTGAACAAAATGCTGCACATTAATGTAATTCTTAACACTGCAGACACCGGTTGAAAAGCATTTGTTTCAGTGTAGTGAGGCGCATTTGCACATTTTACATTTTTATTCACAAACATGTCTGTATATTAGTTCAAATCGCTGCACAATCATTTAATCCCGAATTCCACAGACTCAAATCGAAAGGCATTTGTTTGTGGTTAGTAAGAATTTATGCAGTACATGGATAATTGTGAGTGCATCTATTAATCATTTTGAGTCTAATATCATCCCATAAAAATTCAGCTTTGCATCACAGGAATAAATTCAATTTTTAAATATATTACAATAGAAAATAGCTATTTTAATATTTCACAACATTAAGCCGACCCTAAACTTCTAAACAGTAGTATACACACTCATATTTTACTCCCAAATCAAATATAACAGTGTCTCAGCATCCCACTAACAACTAAACATCCATTTAATAAACACTAGCAACATTAGAAAACTGCAAATGTGCTAGAGATGCATAAAGAGAATAAATTTACATACATTAAAGGTTATATAAAATTATAATGACATGACTAAACACTTGCAGGTCAATCAACCTCTATAGATGAGAACTGGTATAAAATAATTAGAGTTATCTGCAACATCTTGTGAGATCTGACCTTTTGCCACCTGGGTGTATGTGTGCGTGGGGGAGAATATATAATGAAATTACTTTTTTCCATTGCACTGCCATGTTAAACACCGAGCGGCTTCACAAACACAGTTCCATCACATCCCATAACAGCTTCAAACATCAAAAGTGTCCGCCTCATGCAGCTCCGAGTGTTTGTGCAACAACATTTGCGGCAGGAAGTCAGGAAGAGAGTCTGAGGATCACGTTCCTCACATAAAGACCCTCTCCTACCTCTAAAGTCATTACCAACACCCTCGAATCATAAGCACATATGTGCCTCTAAACTGACAGATCACATGGAAAACCTCTCCTGATGTGACATGCTGCAAGAAGGCAAAAAACAAACATCTCTATTATATGGTGTATTTTAAATATGGTGTTATGTGGAGTTCTCTAAGGCGTTTAGCAGATCCAAAAAAAAACATTTTTGCTTGATTTTATAACTCAATTTACCATGTATTAGGGTACAAAATTGCACAAAGCTCTTACAAATCCAGCTCTGAAGCCCAATTCATCCATGTGGAGGCCATTATTTTATGAATTTGAGATCTAATTACAGTACATCTCTAATGTAAATGCAGTCGCTTCCTGCGAGAAGTGACGCATGCATTATATATTTTTAATGATGTTCGACAATTTATAGGTGTTCTATTCATAGCAGCGGTGTAGAACACGATGCAGCGATTTTTTTTAAATGACCTAGTTCATCATTCGTCCGCCTCTCGGCCAGTGGCAGAGGATTTATGAGATAATAATATCTGTGACTGCTCATAAGTACTGTCATTCACTTCATTTCCTTAAACTTCATTTCCTGTCTGACTCCAAGGGCATTAGCAGCTCGGAAGGACATGTGCTGTAATCAGCCTTTGCTGTAATTTAACAGCAACTGTGCATTGCAATATCATGTGTGAATAGGTACTCACTGTCAAAATCATGGCAAACGGAATCCGGAAATTTCAAGGCTTCAGGAGTTCTGTACTGATACAATAATGAATGTGACAGTTCAGTCCTGTTCATGGTTAGAACACTCTGACCTCAGGAGTCTGTTGTCAATGAGTCTGACACAATTATTCTTCAAGATCTTTCTGCATTGAGCACCAAAGAAATCACTCTCTGCCATTGTCTTTTAGTAGCCTATTATACTTCTCAGGAATCTGGTACAAGGTCATTTCTGTTGAAATTACACTACCATTCAAAAGTTTAGGGTCAGTATGATTTTTTTTTTTTCAAGAGATGAATACCAGCTTCTTCAGCAAGGATGCATTAAATTGATCAAAAGTCAAATTAAAGAAACTTTTGATTCATCAAATATAAATATAATTAAAAATATATTACCACAAATATATTAAGCAGCACAACTGTTTTCAACATTGACAATAATAAGAAACATTTCTTGAACACCAAATAACCATATTCCGATATCTGAGAACTAATTACATCTGTAATGTAAATGCAGTCCTTTTCTTTGAGGAGTGACGCATGCATTATATAATGATGTTTGATAATTTATAGGTGTTCTATTCACAAGTGTTGAAAATCTTATTGCATTCTGCTCCAAAGAAGTCACCACTTTTTTCAAATCTATTATACTTTTGGCAAATCTGGTTTAATCAGCTAATTTCTGTGAAAATGCACCACCATTCAAAAGTTTAGTGTCAGTATGATATTTTTTTTAATAAGTATTAAAGTTAATACTTTTATTAATTAAGGATGCAGTAAATTGATCAAAAGTGGCAGCAAAGACATTTAAAATGTTACAAACTTTCTATATACCTATGATAGTTCACAACAAAATATTAAGCAGCACAACTGTTTTCAACACTGATAATAATCAGAAATGTTTCTTGAGCAGCAAATCAGCATATTAGAATGATTTCTGAAGGATCGTGTGACACTGAAGACTGGAGTAATGACACTGAAAATTCAGCTCTACATCACAGGAATAAATTAGATTTTAAAATATATATAAATAGAAAACACAATATTTCACAATATTACGGTGTTTTTGATCAAATAAATGCAACTTTGCTGAGACTTCTTTCAAAACATTTTAGAAAACTAGTATTATTCATAAAGCCTAGTCGACTAAAGTGCATGTCCTAGTTGATGTGTGCATGCGTGCGACTCACTGTTCGGTTTTGTAGTTGGAGCATCTCTCCAGAGGGATCTTCAGCACTCTGCTGGGGAGTCCCACGAAAAGCGACCTATCGCTGTGCAGAATCTGCAGGTTCAGGATTGGCTCCTGCATGTTTTCTGGGAGAATGTTCATCTCCTCCAAGTAACATCCGCGCAGACTCTTATTAGTTGTGGATAAGACCTTGATGATGGTGCCGTACTCTGATTGGTCAATGAAAGAAAACTATTAGAACCACAGAGCACAACACTGAATGTCACACTTTATTCCTTCCTGACCTGTGCCGATGTACATGACGTGGTAGAGCGTGTCTCTCCCCTGAACAATGTCCACAGCCAGTCTGGAGAAACGGATGTTGTCTTGCATGACCAGAGGATCCGTAGAGATGGGCTGAACCACCTCGCTCATGAGGAAGAGCCGCTGGGCGTCTTGAAGACTGCGTTCTGTTAGATTACCGCCAGGACCTGAATCATTCACTGTCCCACACTGTCACAGAGATAGGTGATGAGGAACGGCACGTTAGAGAAACGGTAAATCTAAATCGAACTGACTACTGCATTTTGTGCCAAACATCTTGAATAAAATTGTGAGTTGGCTACAGGGTAAAAGTAAAATACTTTGAAATGGAAGCTGCAGCAGTTCATTTCCTTCACCTGAAAATTTGGGATGGGGTTGGGAGTGGAAAGCCAGCTGGTCCGAGGGTTCTCCTGATAGCGAAAGGGTCCGTTAAAGGCCTGCGTGATGGCACTGAGGTTAAACGCACACACTGCTGATGCAGCAATGCTGTTCCTGTGAATGAGAGGAAGAAGTGAAAGATGGTGTGGTGCTGTACATTCTAAATGAAAATCTTAACAGAAAAACAGTAGTGTTCAAAGTTAGGGGTCGGTAAGATTTTAAGAGCTAGATGTACTGAAGAGGGCAAATTAGTTCTGCTGGTGATCTACTGACAATGCGCAAATTAAAGAACACAGATGGGCCATTTCCATAATGACCAAGCAAATTAGCAACTAAGGCAGCCATATCAAGCACAAAGTGATTTCCGATATGCTTTTTTGGAAATTGAATGGCACAAATAGCAGTAAATTGACTCCTGCAAACCGTAGTAAAGTTAGGGGTCGGTAAGATTTTAAGAGCTAGATGTACTGAAGAGGGCAAATTAGTTCTGCTGGTGATCTACTGACAATGCGCAAATTAAAGAACACAGATGGAGCCAGATCATTTCCATAATGACCAAGCAAATTAGCAACTAAGGCAGCCATATCAAGCACAAAGTGATTTCCGATATGCTTTTTTGGAAATTGAATGGCACAAATAGCAGTAAATTGACTCCTGCAAACCGTAGTAAGTAGCCTTGCATGTTTTATTTTAATATTCTCCTCCCATAAATATTGCATCTAGAGATGCTCATACTAACCGGTTAACCAATTAACCGTTAACTGACAGTAAGAAGTTTGACTGATTTATACAGTTAGTTAAACTTAGTTAAATTCTAGTAGTTTTTAAAAATATTTTAAAATGTTTGTCGGCACCGATAGCCTCGTGGTTAGTGCATCGACATACAGCGCAACTTTGCTCACAGCGACCCGAGTTTGAATCCCGTCTCGGGGTCCTTTGCCAAACCCGCTCCCCTCTCTCCACCCAATGCTTTCCTGTCATCTCTCTACTGACCTATCCTAATAAAAAAAAGGCATAAAAGCCAATAAAAATGACTTTTAAAAAAATGTTTGCTGCATGGTTAAAAATATGCTACAAATATAAAATAAAATAGTTTTTATGAGAAAAACAGGTAAGTCATTTTATTATTACATTCAGAAATACCAGTAAATCAAGTGAAATGTGACCCTGGACCACAAAACCAGTCATAAGGGTCAGTTTTTTTAAATTGAGATTTATACATCATTTGAAAGCTGAATTTCCATTAATGTATGGTTTGTTATGATAGCACAATATTTGGCCGAGATACAACTAAACATTAGAAAAACTAGATATATAACTAGGCTATATGCTATTTTAGTCCGCCTCACTCCACAACAAAACATTTCAATTTAATGGTACTCAGAACAGAACAACAAGGAAAATATAAGACGCTATATAGACAACAAGCCAAAACAAATGAATTTAAAGCAAAACTGAAACAGAAACCGACGTTGGGCTCACGTAGCCTCTCATTCGGCACAAATCCAAATGTTTCCATATTTGCGGTGTATTTGGATGCCAAACTATGATTTATTATGTAGGCTGAATCAGGCTTTGTACTTCACTTGTGTTCCAATATCCACGTAAAATCGAATGTGCTTGGCATAATATCACTGAAGGATCATGTGACACTGAAGACTGGAGGAATGAAGCTGAAAACTCAGCTTCGATCACTAGAATAAATGAAATTTTACAATATATTCAAATAGAAAACAGTACTTACTTCTCGCTTACAAGACATTAATAAATGGAAGTTTTATTTTGTTGCAAATTCTGCTCTAACCTAATGAAATTCCTGCCGTGTGACTGTTCACTACTTCATGAAGCATCCACTCACACGTTGGTGGTGAAGACTCCATAGATGAGATCTTGCTCAGGAAGGTAGAAGGTGCTCTGCAGCTCATGGTAGTAGAAGGGAACATCTCCAGAGCGGGAACAGTTGAGTCGAGCCTTCATGAAGGTGGTCCATGTGTCTTCCAGCAGGAAACGACCACCAATGTCATTCTGACACACACGGGCCACACGAGAGAAGACCGTCTTCCCACAGTCCTGTTCTACTGCGTTCTCTCTCAGAAAAAGGTACGTGAAGCGGCCCACCTCGTATGCAGAGACAAAGTGAGGTTCTGTAGAGAGAAAGGGAAGGAAGAAGGTGGATATCTTGCTTTCAGTGACAGCGGTGTGGTTTGACATGACAAAATATAATACCTTAAAGATAATTATTTCAAAAAACAGACATAAATATAAGGGTGAATCACAAAAACATGGCCAGCTGACTTTTCACACCAAAATCAGAAGAAAAATAAGTTTTATTTAAAGAAATCGAAGAATATTTAAGACTATTAGGATGTTTGAATTATGGTATTCTTTCCCTCAAAATCAAAATTTTTTGTTGATTCTCACCACTGTAATACAGATTTTTTATCACAGTGAAAAATACTATATATAATGCAACAATTTTAACGATTTGTTTTTATTTTAAATTATTTTTTATCACAGTAATAAAATTCTTAATGCAACATTTTTTAATTAAAAATGTATCAATGCTTAACTTTTGAGTTTTTTAAATGTCATGCATCTGTATTGCGGCATGAATAAAATAAGCTAATATAATGATTTTTTACTTTAAAAATAAATGCTATCATAGTAAAAAAATATGTTGTAATTTTATATTTAATGCAACATTTTTAAAGCATTAACAATATATCCAGATGTTTAACTCTTGTGTTTGCGTTTAATTTATATTTTCTAACACAATATTTTGATACTTCATTACATACAATTAGTTAATATTTCTTTTAATGTACAAATATAAATATATAAATTAAGGCAAGTAAAAAAAAATACTACCATGATGTATTAATAAAAAATACAATTAAATTATCATTATTTTTTCAGTAATGAGAATATAGGTCAACATAGGCTTAATTGTCATGAAAATAATGTTATTGACCTAAACATATTCTTTACAGGATTTTTCAGATTCATTGATAAGTTGTGTGTTGTCCTGCTGTACCGTTGAGCCATTTGGAGTTGTACTGTGCGGTCCGCAGGGGCGGCATGTTCCCCAGACTGCGGTAAATAATGGGGTCGCGGCTAGAGAAATCAGTCACTGTAGCTGCGTAGACTTCTCCACTCTCAGTTATCATGGCTGTAGAGTTGTGTCGAGGGTCGTAGGGACAGCGAGCCACCCCGCCGATGGACTCCAGGACGCTGGAGATGTCCGTAACAGGGCGAGTCGTACACATGGGCATGAAAGCATTAGTGCCGCAGGTGAACAGACGACTGCCGTTCAACAGGAGGACACGGACATAGTTCTGACACTCATCCTGAGAGAGAAGAAACAATTCATTTCACACACATTACAGTTTACTTCCAGAACCCTACCGTTGCACTCCATTAACATGCAGTACATTCATTCAGAGTGCTTTATGGTAAACCAAACACTCCACATCCCAGTGTTCGTCTCTCACCTCTGTCTTTCCTTTGCTCTGGCAGGACCTCCTGGTGCTCTCGTCTACTCCCCACTCTGTGGCCTGCAATTAACAGCCAATTAACATCACGGTTAGAAGTTAAGCTATCAAGACATGGATCACGTGCATCCATTAACTCTGAGAGATTCATGAGGGAACGGAAGGGGTTCGTGAGTTGACAAAAAACTAATAATTAATTCAAATAAATACATTATTTTATAATAGTTCAAAAAATTATTTTAGATATTTGTTTACCTGCTTGTCATGTAACCATAGGCCAACATCTGAAAAGCATGAACCATGTAATTTTAGTATCACTAAGATACTATTATTTTTAAAATATTTTGAATTTAGCTCTAATATTACATATTTAGTTTAATATTTTAAATACTTTTTGTATTTTCTGTTTTCATTATTTACTTAAAATTTTAGTAAATTTGTTGTGTTTTTGTCATTTTTACAAGTTACTGTTTTTTTAATGTGTAAATAGTATTTAGTTATTTTTATTTAAGTTTTAGTTTAAGCAACAGTGTTATTTTCATATCAATTATATTTTGTTTTCATGTTGATGTTAGTTAATGTCTCAGTAACTTTGTTGTGTGTTTTGTCGTTTTTATTTATTTTTAATATGTCTTCTATAAATAGACATTAAACTAACTGTCTAAAAGTTAAACTAAAGGAAAATTAGAAATGTTGCTTTGGGAACTAGAAAAATTAATTTTTTGTAAAAATTTTTTTATTTAAGTTAATGTTTTTATTGCAACTAATGAAGGTTTTAGAATTAGCTAAAGGGTTAGTTCACTCAAAAATGAAAATTAGCCCGTGTTTTACTCACCTTCAAGGCATCCTAGGTGTATATGACATTCTTCTTTCAGACGAATCCAATCGGAGTTATATAAAAAAATTGTCCTTGCTCTTCCAAGCTTTATAATGGACGCATACGTTCTACGTCATCCGCCAGAATGGCTTGCACGTATGACAGTTAGCGGAAGTGAGAGAAAAGTGTTTATAACGTTTTAAATATGGATATTTTTCTTACAAAAATGCATCAATTCTGCCTTTATTCACCCCCGGAGCCATGTGAGGCACATTTTATTATGGATGTGCGCGCTTTATTTTACTTCTTTTGGACTGTTGAACAGAAACACCCACCCACTGCCATTATAAAGCTTGGAAGAGCAAGGACAATTTTTTCTATAACTCCGATTGGATTCGTCTTAAAGAGGAAAGTCATATACACCTAGGATGCCTTGATGGTGAGTAAAACATGGGCTAATTTTCATTTTTGAGTGAACTAACCCTTTAACATTGATTACACTTCAAACAAGAGGCCAATGAGAGAGAAAGAGAGATTTACAGAGGAATAAACCTGCAGACCCAGAGACAGAGGAGAAAGAGAGAAACTACTGAGGAAGATATGGATTGCTGGTGTTTAGTCTGTGTGTGTGTGTGTGTTTTGTGTGTGTGTTACTGTTAATGACTGTTGAACAGAAACACCCACCCACTGCCATTATAAAGCTTGGAAGAGCAAGGACAATTTTTTCTATAACTCCGATTGGATTCGTCTTAAAGAGGAAAGTCATATACACCTAGGATGCCTTGATGGTGAGTAAAACATGGGCTAATTTTCATTTTTGAGTGAACTAACCCTTTAACAATAATATCCCTGTTAAGTGCATCAAGTTAAACTAAATAAAAATAGGAAATATTGCTTTGGTAACTAGCTGAAATAAAATATTTCAAGTTGTTTTTTTGTAATTGAGTGTATTTCAGTTTTCTTTATGTTTACATTTACTTTAAGTAAACGTTTTTATGGATTTATTTTCAATCCAGCACTTTAACATGTCAAATGCATCTGACTGTTTGTGTTTCAGCATTTTTGTAGCAATGTTACAACTCTATTCTCAATGTTACAAACACTACTACACTCACAACTCAAGACGAAGATGCTGTTTTGCCTGTCTACAGTGCAGACTACATAGGGAATGTTTCAGCTGCCAGACATACTTAAAAGCTTTCCTGTTTTCCGATTTGCAAAGGAATCTTTTTAATGATTCGACTGAACTGATTCACGGCACATTCATCACTCCTTGTTTGCGAGTAAAACTGTGACGTGTGACGAGTCAGAATCATAAACAACAGTATTTAAATATTTAGTTCACAACACAAATTGTAAAAGATCACACAGAGATGATTCAAACAAATCTGTAAATTGTTTACTTCAACCTGTTCCTTTAAACGAACTGCCTGGACCAACAAATTCGGTAAAGTGCAAATATCGACATGCCTTTTACCTTAAAAAGCCATGACAACAAACCTAAACCTTTCTTGTTATTATGATTAGGAGGCAGAATAAGTAAATGAACTAAAACTATGAAAGATAATCAGTCATGGGAAGCTCTTCCATTCACTCAGATTCTTTCCTTAATGTGAAGAAGGTATGAAACACACAATAATAGAAGACAAAAAGACGGAAGGTGGAAAGTTTCGCTGCATATACACAATATGACTCTATAGTGAGGGAGAGCAACTGTGTGACATTTAATTAGGGAACACTGGATGGTTTGTCTTAATCGCATTGGTTCCCTTATCTGAAACGAAAACCCTTGAATGTGTTGTTTCACTCGTTTTAAGACGTTCTTCCTCTCTTTTGTTCCTTGTCCCTCCCTCTCCTTTCACAGGCTGCTTTGTCATGTTTATCTGTGTTGTCATTTGGCTAGAAAATAATGATGTAGACCAGAGTCACACACACACACTATAGAATGAAATAATAAAGCATGATTTTGTATTGGATGTGACGCTTACTGAAGGCATCAGCTGAAGAACTGTGAGGATCCAGCAGAGCCTGAATGGAGTGGAAAGGTCACAGATAAAGCACAGAGCTCTTCACAGCCGGGGGACGTTTTATAACAAAGATAAGCACAGCCAGATCTAAAATAACTCACACTATCACACAATAGGTTGAACTGGGCAAAACTTCACCCTAAAATCAAAATATACACTATATAGTTCAAAGGTTTGGGTAGGTAGGATTGTTTTTTTTTAAAGAAATTACTACTATAATTTATCAAGGACACATTAAAATGATCAAAAGTAACAGTAAAGTCATTTATACAATTATAAAAGATTTCTGTTTCAAATAAATGCTATTTGTTTGAACTTTTTAATCATTAAATAATCCTGAAAAAAAGATTTCCACAAAAGGAAAATGAAGCAGAACCACCGTTTTCAACGTTAAAAATAATAATTAATTCTTGAGCAGTGAATCAGCATATTAGAATGATTTCTGAAGGATCGTGTGACACTGAAGACTGGAGTAATGATGCTGAAAATTCAACTTTGCATCACAGGAATAAATTACTTTTTAAAATATATTACAATAGAAAACAGTTATTTTAAATGTGCATAATATTTCACAATTGTACTGTATTTTTGACCAAATAAATGCAGTCTTGGTAAGCAGAAGAGACTTATTTTAAAAACTTTTTTTTTTTATCTAATTTTTTGGATAAAAACATCTGCTAAATGACAGAGCAAAAATATATCATTACTGTAAAGAGAAAAAAATAAAGATATATTATTTAAAACGTAAAGAATATGTACATATATGTATTCATAGTACTTAGTACTGTGTTAAATTATGCTGCTTTAAATGCAATGCATCATTGTATGACAGTGTTGTTTAATATAATATAGTAACTTTATTACAGTAGTGAGAGTTCAATGAAAGTCACCACTGAGGATACAAAAAAGGGAATTACAAAAACTAAAATTATAATAAAGAGCCCCATTAAAACTTTAAGAATTTATTTTGATGGAGCTTTGACTTTAATGGAGCAAAGATTGATGTGCAGTGGACAAGAGGTTTCAAATACAACAATGCAACAATCAGGCAATAATTAAAGCGATACATGACTGACAGCCAGGAAATGTAAAAACATAATCTGGCGCCTATTGCCTTTTGTGAATATTGTAAAGATGCCGTTCTGAGCATGATCAATTATTTTCTTTAAGTGCTTTTGCTGTTTAGTGGTAGTTTAAGAAGTTTTAGGCACAACATTGCATACACTAATATAAAAAGAAAATGGATTGTAGTGCATATTTTTTGATTGATAAGTGACATCTGTGCCTCTGTACTCTTGAAAAGCAGCAGGCGCTTCTGATGAGCACACACTCGTCTGCAAAAGGAGCTGATTACACACGTTCTGACAAACTGCATCTGTTCACTTGACTTTTGCAAACTATATTTCACGCTTGTTGTTTAAGAGAAAGATGGAGAAACAAAAAGAGGGAGCGCAAGGGTTCAGAAAGCAATCATCAATCTAGCCGTGCCTCTGCAGTCATCAGTTGAAGAGCAGGATTCACCCTGAGAAGATCTGTGAGGGTCAGACTTGCGTCACCTCTGGATGTTGAGGGGTTGTGTTCTTTCTCCAACACACTAAAGATCTGCTCATCCAGGCACGATCATTTGACCTCAGCTAAAACGCTCTTATCTGCCCTCTCTATCTCTCTCTGCGGCCTGGTCCTGACCAGAACCATCATTAAACCAGAACGATTTCAAGACAGATATAATAAATCATTGACATATGCAACAGATTCAAACATCTCATTATCATATCTTTCATGACTGGTGTGGCTGATGTGTGTAACTTTACTGAATCTCAAATAAATAAAATAAAATAAAATAAAATAAAATAAAATAAAATAAAATAAAATAAAATATTAAAATGTATAGCTTTTATTATTAGCCTTGTCCCAGAATCAAACTTTAAATCTTAAAATACGAAAATCTAACATAAAATATGAATAATGACATTTTTAATTTTATTATAATCAAAACAAAGAATGAAATTTTCAAGAATGAAATGCAATTTAAATATTTATTGTGTGACAACGCTCTCATCATTTTTTTACCAAATTTCAGCCGTTTTTACCATAATTTCTACCACAACCAGCAATTTTGCCCCTAAAACATTTTTTCAAAAGTTTGCATACTAACTTCCTGAGGTGTTTACCAAGATGACTAAAATAACCTTTGAAAATGTTTTTTATTTTTTTTTATTTTTTTAAGTTAAACAAATTGAAAGTGTCTGCCTTTTTATGAAAAATGTTTTTAAAATGTCATTTGCACCACAAAATGAATGATTATTTAAGACGGGATGGAAATGACATTCATTAATGATGGACAAATTGTCAAAATTCTATCTTTGGTTCCTGCAAATATGCAGTTTTACATATTGATCTACATGATGTAAGTGAAATATGTACATTCTAAAAGAAATTCAAAGAATTTTTTTCAGAACAGAGATGTAGAGGAGCGCAGTGAGGAGTTTGTCATACTGCTGTGTGTGTGTGTGTGTGTGTGTGTGTGTGTGTGTGTTTGCTCGAGGGGTGACTGTGGGTCACTCTTGTGGACAGGGTCATGAAGTCACCCTAAATCACTGGATTTTGACAGATTCTTGTGAGATCTGCCTCCAAGGCGTCACCCCTCTCAGGGTTACGGTGAGCGTTTAGAGGGTTCACCAGCAGGGTCTTCCACAAACGCCAGTGAAGTCACTCTTAGATATCACACAAGTGCTCAAAGCTTTCAACAGGCTTGTCACGCAAGCACAACACAATCTCAGCATTCCCACCATACGCTAAGTGCAGAGGTGGTCTCAAATCATCCTTCAAGACAAACAAGGCCAATTTAAACCCACTCCCAGATGAGATTGCTGTCTACAGCAGCTCCTCACCTCAAACACAGACAATCTGCAGCAGCAGACAAACGTACAGACGTCTGCATATTGAACGGATCATATTCTACACTTTATTTGATCCACAGTGCTAGTGAAGATATCTCGCACCAAAAACAGTCAGAAAGTTTTTCCATAACCATTTGCCCACAAAACATACTCTAAAGGATGAGCAAACAATGACAGAATTAGCTTTTTGAATTATTCTGTTAAGAACTAAACTAAACTAAACTAAAATTCCATTAAAAAAAATAATAATAAAAAATCAAAAAAAATAAATGTATAGATTTTATTATTACCCTGGTCCCAAACATACACAATAATTAGAAGATGAAAAAAATATTTTAAGTAAATAAATACATTAAAATTAAAATTTTATTATAACCCAGGTACCAAACAGACATTATCTGATTCTTATGCTCAAAACATACTCTACAGAAGGATAAGCAAATTATGACATTTCATTTTTTAATGAAAATAAATAAATAAATAAAGTCTAAAATAAAATTAAATAATTTATTTTTTTGATTTAATTTTTAAATTAGATTTAAACATTTCCTCCTTTCAAGAGATTCAGAGGAGAGGCGCTCAAATCAGGATGCTGAACATGACGCAGCTGTCTTGGAAGTCAATGCTTTTCAAACATCTGCACAATACCAGATGCTACTGAATGTGTGTTTTTGATTTGTTGGATATTTCTGCTTCTGTGCGTCAGCACTTTCGAACATGTGGGCAATCATAATAAAATACAGAGTCTAAGTGTATGTCTGGCATGGGATGAATTAAATGGACAGTGCTGGTTCTGCATTTCTAGAGACGTCAAGATGATTGGATGGACAGATGGGAAGGAGAATAAAGAGAGAAAGAGAGCAAGTGACGTCCTACCTGCAGGAGAGAGACGTTGCTCAAACTCAACCGGAAGAGATGATTCCTACACAGAGAGAGATGCTTTAGGTTTGGCAGGCTCAGCTGAGCTTGTACTTCTGTGTGTGTGTGTGTGTGTGTGTGTTACCTGGCTCCCACTATCAGCTGGTTCCTGGTGAGGTCGAGTGCGAGCGGTGAGTAGTCATTCACTCCAGGCAGAGAGAAAGAGGACAGCCACGGGCTCAAAGCTACGGCAGAAAAGAGCCACAGGTGACATTTAGACAGTTAGCTGTGAGCCAACACGTTTAATCTGCTGTTTAGCTGCTGGTTTCACTGTTTGTAATACCACAAACTGAGAAAAATCCCACAAGTTCAAAATCCTTGTGCGATACTCTTCATGTTGCTGAGCGACTTCACTGTTCTGTATGATTTGTCTCTGCACACATACAGCGTAGATGTTTTGTGAACCGTGTCAGGAACTGTCTAAGAGAGTTTGATTCATGCATTAATTATCTTGTTCATGATAAGACGCATTATGCACTGATGCAATTTACACACAAACAGGAAGTCTCTTCTGCTCCCCAAGGCTGCACTGATTTGACCAAAAATACAGTAAAAACAGCATAATTGTGAAATATTTTTACAATTTAAAAGAACTGTTTTCTATTTGAATATATTTTAAAAAGTTATTTATTCTTGTGATCAAAGCTGAATTTTCAGCATCATTACTCCAGTCTCCAGTGTCACATGACCCTTCAGAAATCATTCTAATATACTGATTTGCTGCTTAATATTTTGACACACGATATATTTTTTCAAGATTTTTTGATGAACAAAAAGTTATAAAATTGCATTTTAATGAAACATAAATCTTTTTCAACACTGTGAATGCTTTTACGGTCACGTTTGATCTATTTAATGCATTCAGGCAAATCTTGCTGACCCCAAACTTTTGCACAGTAGTGTATGATTAGATTTTTAAAAACAATGGCAAGTTTCACAGCCCACCAACAACGTTAATGCATTCAGAGGCAGGAACAGCTGCTGGCAACCTGGTGAACTCCAGCTGTATGTGCGAGGATACTTAATATATGTTGTCCTGTTTAAGAGAAACAGCCACAGAGAAAGAGAAAGCAAGGGTTGGGAGTCCAAACCACACACGCTGGACCATTAATGAGGTGTGATACTCACGAAACCAGACGCCCAATCACAACATCAGCCACAACACAACTCTCATACAGAAAGACAGAGAGGAGGTGAAGGAATAGACTGCAAATTGTTGTGAAACTTTAAATGCAACCTTTGCAAAACTAGTTTTTGGGGTGTGCTGCCAGTAACGCACTACAACAAACTATTTCTTTTCAAAATAATGAACTGCATAAAATCATTTAGTGATGTGTATGTGTACTGCTAAACATCAGTGAAGACAACGTCATTGGCTGCTGCTTGTTGGAGAAGAAGGAGAAGATGCAGTGGACCTAAAAGATATTTCGTCACTTAAAGGTGCTTAGAAGTTATTTTAGAAAAACACACGCAAAAATGTCCAAGACTACATAAACAGCAAAATAAATATCTGTCCATCTGAAGCAGACTGTGCTGATTTACCAATCAGAACATTTAGTCAATTAGAAACACTCTGTTTGGCCAAAAGCTATTTTGAAGGAGAGCATTTTGGTGAGGTCGGCACTTTCGGACTCTTTCTGATTGTCAAATTGCACGATATGGGCCTAGTGAAATCTTGCGTAAAAGCCAAGACAGACTGTGCAACATTGACTGTCTTTCATATCAGAATATCCCTCATGTCAGTCTAAACTAGAAGACTTTTTTCTTCTGTGGAACAAAATAGCAGTTTCTGTTTCAGTTCTCATTTTGACTTCCATTGTATTTTGTGTCCACATTACATTTCGCAGAAATGAGGAATACAACAGGTAATTCCGTACAATGAAAGTCAATGGGAACCGAAGCTGTTTGGTTACTAACAATCTTCAAAATATCTTCGATTATATTGGTAAACCAAACAGTTTCCGTTCCTATTGGTTTCCATTGTATTGTTTGGCTATACAATAGAAGTAAATAGGATTCAAAATTGGTTACCAACACTGGAACATGAAGGTGAGTAAATGATGACATATTTTTATTTTTTGGTGACTTATACCTTCAGTCAGTGTTTGTGTCAGTTGTTCAATCGTAATCTTTTATGACTTCCAAAAAATTGTCTAAGATGGCAAAATCGTGGAGAAAATCATACTGTGTGAACCAGGCTTAAGTTTAACGGAAGAAAGCAGAACAAATGAAATAGCTTATAGCACCTTTAAAATGTGTGATTTAAATGTCTGAAAATGTTTTAGTGGCAAAAAGAAAACAGTGACTAATGATGAAATGATCAGACATTTCAGGAACAGTTCGGCTGAAGAGAAGAAACACCCCATTTAGTTCTCCAAACAGTGCTGAAGCAAGTGCTGCTGTAAATCAGGGTCGTTATCACCCTAAAACAGATGACTACACCCTCAATAAATGCTCCTGAATCTCTCTAGGTGGGCAAAATCACTCTCTCAATGTCTTTAGTGTACAGCAGCTTCTGCTACTTTTGTTTGTTTATGATTTAACGCCATGCGAGCTACCTCGGCTATATTCATGGCAAGAACGAGGTTAGTTAAGTTAAATTAAGTTTTTAAATTTGATCTTAGATAAAAATTCTAAAACTACATCTGGCCTTACTTCATTAAAAATCTGTCCATAAAAGTCTACAGCAAAATAAAGAGTTCAGACAGACTTTAAACTATTACAATCCATCAAAATATGCTTCAAAGATAATGGATTCTGGCACAAAGAACATAAAGGAGGATCTTCACCCGCCAACAGAAAACTATGGGTTAGTCTGGAATGTCAGCTTCTGCTACTACTGCAATTCACTAACACTTCTATAATAGAGGACAATATAACACTTACAGTGTAGCCTCGCATATACTAACAGAGCAGACTGTGTCGATTAGTGTGCGATATTAGAAACTGCAGGGCGTGAGCACATACTCCTGATCGTACACACAGCTGTGTTAACCTTTAACATCTGGCCAGCATATGGTTAAAACTGTTAAACACAGACAGGTACCAATGAAAGGCCGCTGGCAATTAACTAGTATTAGGCTACGTTTACACGACAACGATGTAGTCAAAAACGGAAAAGTTATTCCCTTGTGTTTTTAAAACGTTTCACGAATACAGGACAACGTTTTCAAAACGATTCGTGTTTACACATATCCGCGAAAACGACCAAAAACGCTGTATTACGTATGCCAGGCCAGTAGTTCACGTACTACGCACGCGCATGACATCACCGTTTTCACGGTTTCACGTTATCACGTTTTCACCGTTTTACACGGAAACGATAACGGTGGCGTTTTCAAAAACCTGCACTTTGAAACCCGTTTTCTAAAATTTGCATTTTCAGTCCCCAAAACGCCGTTGTCGTGTAAACGAACAGGCAAAATGCATAAAAAGTTTCCCGTTTTTGGCTGAAAACGCTGTCGTGTAAACGGCCCCTCAGATGAAAACATACCCTGGACCGGCAACAGGCCATTAATGGACGGCCTGATGGATACTGCACATAAAAGTGGCAAAAGTTTCCTCAAAACAGACAGCTCTAATCTGAATGATTGGCTTTAGGCAATTTCAGGTGTTAAAGTGCAACAAATAGAGTTGGTTTGTTGTTTTACATGTCAGCAAAGTCCCTGTAAAGCAATTTGATTCGCTTGGTGGCCATCTTTCCATGGTTTGTCAAGGTTATGTTTCAATTATGTGTCAAAGAAACAATAAAATCTGACAAAAATAGTGCAATTAACTTCTTTGGCCCAAATCAAGCTACACTACTGTTTAAAAGTCTGTAAGATTTTTTCAAATATTTTTGAAAGAAGTGTCAAGGCTGCATTTATTTGATTAAAAATATAATAAAAACAGTAATGTTGTGAAATATTATTACAATTCTAAATAGCTGCTTTCTATTTTAATATATTATAATGTGTAATTTATTCCTGTGATGTAAAGCTGAATTTTCAGCATCATTATTTTTTTTTATTTACTGCTCTAGAAATATTTCTATTTATTATCAATGTTGAAAACAGTTGTGCTGCTTCACATTTTTGTGAAAACGCTAATACGTTTTTTTCATGATTTCCTGATGAACAGAAAGTTCAACAATACAGCATTTATTTAAAATGGAAATCTTTTGCAACATTATAAATATCTGTACTGCCACTTTTGATTCATTTAATGCATCCCTGCTGAATAAGTATGGTCTAGCTAATGCACATTTAATAATAAAACGCAAGTGATGTCTTTTTCAAAAAGGCTCTTGTTACTGAAAGTTACAGCCTTCATAATGAGCAATGTGATTTCTCCCATTCATTTTACTGTTATTATCCCGTCTCAGTTTCAGTTAGATGGTCTCTTCTGATCTAGCTGCAATGTGGACGTTTGGCTATGTGAGACTCACGAGCAGTTTCTACCAGCTCGACCAATATTACTGAGATGTTCAGGGAAAAAAATTATTAAAAGGCTTAACGTTTTAACCTTTGGCTTCAAATGCGATGATGGAAAGGGCAGGAGAGAGCGCAGTATTTTACACCCACCTGTGTAGGAGGTAACGGGGTGCATTTTTCTCCGGCACTCTTCAGGCAGAGAGGGCACAGACTCAGGGTCAGAGGTCGCTGGGAGTGATGGCGTCTGTGACGTGACGAGAGGCAGAGAGAGGAGGCGGAAGATGACAAGTCCAGAGAAGAGCAGCGGTCCGACCCGGAACGGCAATGCTGTCATGATTACTGCAACAACCACTCCTGTTCTCAGGAACGATGACAGAGTCCTGAGAAGAAAGAGCAACATTCGAGTTTGGTAAGTGAAAGCTTCATTTGTTTTAGGGAAATTGATTTTAACGCTAACTTTTAAACCTTTAAAGACAGACCTGTTGTGAGCTACGAGGTTGTTAACAGATGGTTTATACTTTTGCTGAAGCCATCAGTCCACATTATTTCAACTTATTTTTTAAGTAATCAAGTTTGACAGCTGAAGTTGGGGTGAAAACTACATTACCCATGATTCTGCTGTACAGAAAATTTCACCAATCAGAGAGTTGCAGAGACTAAATCGCGACAAAAGATCTTGCAGGGAATGCTACAAATTACATAATCGATTCGGTCTCCCTACACTCTCAAAATACTTAAAGGGGTCATATGATGCTTTTTTAAAGATCATTATTTTGTGTATTTGGTGTAACAGAATATGTTGACATGCTTTAATGTTCAAAAAACACATTATTTTTCAAATACTGTACATTATTGTAGGTCCTCTATGCCCCGCCTCTCTCAAACGCTTCGTAAATATAAATCTTCAAAATTTCTAGTAAAACGGGTTTTGAATTATAAATTATGAAACTATACAAATCAACAAAATAAACCAAAAACCGGAAGAACAGAAAGAAAACAGATGGACAACCAGACAGCAAGTGAGTTAGACGGACAGATAAACAGACAGAACGCAGAGAGACGGCTTCATCTTCTCCTGAAGGGTTAAGATGGTGTAAGTCTTGCTCTTTCTAATCTAATTAACCTCTATCTCTCATCAGAGTAAACGACTGGACCTCTTCCAAGACCCGCAGCAGTTCAACATAATGTTATTCTAAAACATAACATTGATTTTGCTTTAATTGTCAGCCTGTGGACGATGAGCCAGCAGATCATTAAAAGTTTAATTACAAGTTGAAGAAGGGATTTTGATATATTTTCAGCCTGTCATGGGAATCAATGGGTCTCTGTAATGACCTCCCTAAAGTTTAAAACGCTTCACCCAGTTCATTTTCCATTAGGTGTTTGACAGCGCTTGAGGCTCAGGGAAACCCAACGTGTAAACACACATCTGAGATCTTACATAAGCTCAGAATGTATATACACACAGCTTCACTTCAATACAAACCTCCCTGTTAGTCCTCGAGTAAACACAAACACACATGCACAAACACATGCTCAATCACACTTAAACATACTTCCTGACACGTCATAGAGAAACCACTGCAGCATCTGTCTTGGTTTTACACAAACACGCCAAACACTGGCCACTCTGTAGAGAGGTGGTCTGATGTCCTGTATCTGTAACTAGGTAGGGATGCACCGAATGTTCGGCAACCAAAATTATTCGGCCGAAAATAGCAAAAAAATCTCTTTCGGTGTTTGGCCGAATAAGCGAAAAGGCTGAATAATATGTACCAAACAATGACTAACGCGATCAAATAGAGCACGCACTAATGCAGTAAACATGTCGGCAGTGTGAAAGTATTTAAAACTATCAGAGAAAGACGCAGAAATCATTACAAGCACGAAGCACCGACAGCGAGAGACTGTTTAGTGCTGCATCACACGTCTCCGATGAGAAGAAGAGGTGGCTGATGCTGGTGGTTAGGCTACTGTGTGATGATTGAAATCGCGAAATGGCCTCAAAAGATTAGTAAATAAACTGCAGAATGTTATATTTTCTAATGCACGCAGGAATTGCATGTATTCTGACAGCGCTGCACGAGCTCGCGGTGCTATCTGCTCATTAGTCAGGGTTCAAAGTCCGCATGCACAAATGCATGCTTCGGCCAATAATTTTCATTTCGGTGCATCCCTATAACTAGGCACACCTTTTTCACATTTTTGTACTGATTCAAATGGAAATACTCATATACTTTAATAAGTCAAGTCAGTCCACTCGGGTCATCTTAGAAAGACCCCCAAACAGCTATTTTTCATTTAGAAAAACATTTTAAAATTTTAAAAAGGAAAGCCTAACAACTCCAAAACAATGTCAAGATTATAAATAACAGCTGATGCCCCTATCAAAATAACTATTGGCCTTTTGGCATTTCTCCATATTGTCGCCATATTTAATGTTACAATTTTTCACATTAATTTTTCAACAAGTGATCCTTGCGTACGTGCAAATAATTTTCAGGAATTGAAATTAAGTTAAATTTAAAATAAATTTTAAATGAAGTTGCCTTGGAAACTACCTGAAATAAGTTTAAGTACTACGATTACTAAAACTGAAATAAAAATAAATAAAGTGAATACAAATTTAAAAAGAAAATAATAAAAATTATAAAAGCACATAAAAAAATCACCAAACCACAAACTAAAATTAAAATGAAAACTGAACATGTAAAAATAAAAGCTTATTCAAAATATTATAAAAAATTATCATAGCAAATAAATTATATTAAAATAACACTGAGCTGAAAGCTTCATTTAAATGTTTTTATTTAAAAATTCAAACAGCTTTTATTCAAAATTATTATTTTATTAAAAAGAAAAACAAAACAAATGATACCCTGTCCAAACAACATATTAATACCTAAATATTCAAAATAAAAAATTTCGGGAACATTTTCAGCTGAAAGTTTCATTTTAGCAGAAACAAACATTTTTACATTTGATTTTACATGGTATTTAATAAACTGATGTGTGAGCTGACTTTTTCAGGGTTAAAACACTTTTTCATATACCAGTTGAATATGCAGAAAACAACTATAACTATAAGTTGATTTAACCCCAAAACAATATAAACAATATAAACTTCCCATCCTAAATGGCAACACTGGCTCATTGTGGGCGGGGCTATCTGTGTGTCTCACCAATAGCAGACAGGGGGAGTGTTTACAAAACCCTTTTGAAAACTGTACTTATTTTTACGGATCCATTTAATGACACTACTATCGGAGCCGAAATTGCACTCTTCAGCTTCATACAACATTTATACAATACTCTCAAAATCCAGTTAATAAGGAAAAACAGTCACAGCAAGGGGAGGGGGTGTGTAGAATTGTATGAATGGTGTGTATTTGAATTCTTTGGAAATGCATCGAGTTTTCAGTGGAATTCTCTGGCAGCGAGCGCCGCATGCGTACTGTTGCTCTTCTTCTTGGCTCCGGGAGCGTGACGCTGTGACACTGAACTTCATCGCCGACCATGTCTAATGCACCTCAATAGCAAGACCCTCAATCCCCCAAATCCCCCTTAATACCCTCAGCACTCCCACATTCAGTCTATTCATGCCCACCTTCTCAGACTCATCAGAGGCCATAGAGATGGAGGGATGACGGAGAGAGAGATGGAGAACCATGAAAGCCAATGATGGCAGTGACAAATGCACCGGAGGGGAGGCCAGGGTCAGACAATGAGCAGACTAGGTGGGCCACTGACGGCCCGTCTGAAACGATTCCTTTTGGGTTAATAGAGGAGATATGAAAGAACGGGATGAATAAATAAGGTCAAAGATGGTTGACAGGCACAAATGCGCTCAATAACACACAGATATCCTCGAGGTCAGTACAGGTTAATAATGGGCTGACAGCTCTTCTAACTAGATTAGACTATGAGTGAACAATTCAAACAATGTGTGCTAAAGTTACTCAAGATTTCCAAGGATGTTTATGGGTAATTCACAAGGCAACTTCAATTTTTCAGACTGTGCTGTTTCTACACAATATTGCGACATTGCTCGAGGTCACGCCTGGTTTAGAGGCAGTTTGTTTCTTGCACTTGCAAAGTAGTACAAAATCCACCAAAACAATCAGTGATTTACGAGAGCATGAGATTATCAACTAATGTTATTATATAATAGAGACATTTCAAAGTGTAACTATATCCCAGTCATAACATAATGCTTGATTATGAGATTATCAGAATTAAACAGTCTCCCCTTTTGTTGTAACAATATTTAAAAAATCATAAATGTGGTTTCACTTCTACTCAGGTTTCTGTCTGTCTGATCTATTAAGATTTTTTTAAAGAGATTAATAAGGATTTATTAAAATTGGTCAAAAGTGACAGTAAAGACATTTAAAAATCTTCCAAAAGATTTCTATTTCTAATAAATTCTGGTGAACTTTTCATTTACCTTTCACTATTCATCAAAAAAAAAAAATTCCCGATTTCCAAAAAATATGAAACAGCACTACTGTTTTCAACATTAATAATAAAAAATGTTTCATGTTTAGCAAATCAGCATATTAAAATGACTTCTGAAGGATCATGTGACACTGAAGACTGGAGTAATGATGCTGAAAATTTTTGCGTCCCAGAAATAAATTACAGTTTAATATATATTCAAACAGAAAACAGTTGTTTTAAATTGTAATAATATTTCACAATATTTTTTGGTTTTACTGTCTGTTTGGTGAGCACAAATCAATAAAACATAAAAAATCTTACTGACCCAAAACTTTTGAATGGTAAACAAACTTCACATATAGCTTTCTATTACATTATATTCAGCTGTCCAAAAAATTTTTTGAACAATTTCAAATCTCTTTCTTTTCATTTACTGAAATTCAGATTCTCTCTCATATAATAAAATTTATCCTCTCCCACTTTTAAGGTCCTTGCACACGGAGTCCGAAATTTTCGTATGCATTTTTTCGTATTCGTCACCCTTTCCTATCAAAATGAATTTTTTTATGACGGACGAAAGTTTCGGAGGCAGTGTGTAAACGTGATTGACACAACGTGAGGTCATATTTATTTTTCAACGTGCGAAAATTTCGGACAAACATTCGGACTCAGTGTGCAGAGACCTTTACAGAGGCTTTCCACCTCAATTTCTCTCCTCTCACTTCTGTTCTCATGTAGGTTCTGCACCAAAATATCTCTTTAATACCTGATGAGAGACCAAAATGACTGAACCACTTTCTCTCTCACACCAAAGCTCAGTAAAGCAGAAAGTGAAGCCCTGCGCTGTGTCTGTGTAAAGGTTGTGACTCTGAGGGCAGGAGCTGTTTGGCGTCCTGCAGCTCTCTGCAGTAACACGCTGTCGTCTCGTCAGTGCAGTCTA